AAAGAGCAACAAATAAAGTTAACTAAGTATCTATTGTTGTAGGATGATAAACAACGAAGTATTTAAGATAGGATTAAAAGCAAGCGACATTTTGGAAATTCCACACTTGAATGTCAAATCTTGAATAAAAACGAGTTGACAAAGGTTCTTAAAAATAACGGGCAGTAGTAATTCACCCGTCTGGGGTTCTAAATCTGCCGGAAACCTTTAAAGACCCATAAACTTTTGTGAATATACGTTTCCGGCTCTTGACTTTAATCATAACACCCAGTCGCCATCACTCCTGATTTTGGCCATGGCATCAGTCGGTCGTTTTATTTGTTTAGTCCACATTTGTCTGATTTTCCTTCAATTGTTTTTCATTGACCCTGTGCAAGGTATAGCGTGTAAAATTATACTACAGTGCTGAACTCGCCCCGGGCACTTAACTCGCAGGTTTTTTATGTGGGTGTCAACTGTATGATCCAATTTACAAAGCGTTACTTGACGCGACCTACGGTAGAACAACGAACCGAAAGTAGAGAATGAACACCGTCTGCTGAAGCTGACGACAGGCGAAATTGGCCACAGCAACAAAGGTCCTGCCGGCTAGGTAGGTTTCGTCTTTATGAAAATGTTGAAAGTAGCAAGTGCAACAGATAGCTTAACGAAGGCATTGGCTGATTAAGCAGTTCCAACAGTCCCGGCCCTGCATTTGGGTTTGCATTCAGAGAAATGTCATCGGGCCACAGGATAGTTTTCAACAGCGAGTAAAAGTTCTATTGGTATTCTGGAAACAGCTTTTAGATGGTTCTTTTCGCTCCTTCTTCGTTGCCAATATCAGTCACACATACATACATACACTTTATTTCCTCTAGAATTTTTTAAGTAGCCAAAATTAGCTTAAGTCTTCGAGAACACAAATACAACAAAATACAATACTTATACATTAAATCATTATGCTAAAAATTGTGAATGTGCTAAACTCATGATGTACATAATAAAACTAGAGACTTACAATCTACTGAAAAGAGTCATATTGTAATATCTTTCGCTTAAAGTCCGCAAAAATAGAAGTTCTAAGCGAGTCTGGAAGAGAGTTTCATAATTTAGCAGCTAAACCTGATGAAAAAGAATGCAGGTCGTAGTTGTTGTTTTCGGATCAGGAAGAGACAGAATGTAATTCAAATATAATATCTTGATATAATGAAGAAACAATAGTTAAAGGTGACTTTTGGGACACTAGAGATGAGCAAAACCATTTCGAAATTGAATAAAATGTTTGCTCTTCATTGACTGCTGCGAACCGGGAGGTTAGAAAATCAAAACCGCACACGCGGGGTAAAATCGAATATTACAGACACTTAGTGTAATGATAGAAAACTGAGGAGCGGTCCTCCAAATTAAGTTAGATCTCTGCGGTTTTAAGGTGCACGAGGATTTAGAAGGGTATTCAAGTTTGTCAAACTTAGTCCTACTAAAACAGTTATTGAATTACAGCGTTTTGATCGGATTAAAGAAAGCTCTCGACTTTGAGAGGGCAAAATTCGGCCTTTATTACTAAGGGCTTCCTTTGTTGCGGCCATGAAAGGGAAGACGTTCTTCAAATTTTAGGGCTACAGCTTCCTGTTATTGGAGGTTCGATTTAGGCACAATGTCTTCTACCTTTGTGGGCGATAAAGGGTCAGGGCGTTCCTTAAAAGAATCTGAAAAAAACATATTTATTTCAAAACGCCTTGCAGTTAAACGCGTGGAAATCTTCGGAACTTCCTGTTGGACTTGCCATGTTGAACACTTAGCGGTTACATATTTCTAAGCTTATTTAGTGTAAAACTACATGCGATTGTACTTGCGTGTTAAGCATAGTTTTCTTTCACACACCTAAATCTTCTATCTTTACTTTTTGTGACACGGAATTCCAAACTTGAGTGGCATATCAAGGAAAATTGTTTTGGATAAACATAAACTGGCACTGGAATTTGCGAATTCCAAATGTTAAGAATTCCTCGCCATATCTGTTTCGAAAACCTCAAACCAAGAATAAATAAATAAAGGTCTCTGTTTGTTAATGCATTTTTTAGTAAACTATCCGCAACATGTCCGCGGAGTTTTTGTCAAGTCGAAGGCTTTTCTTATTTTGTTAAGATAATTCAAGATCTTGTATTTGTCTAAAATTGTTGGTTCTAAAATTTCTTTGAAAGACGAAGACAGGGTTAGAAAACGTCGCACAGCTGCTAAAACGGGTACTGTTGCAGTTTACGGCGGCTTATCAGTTTGCGTTTCATCAAGATCATTCTATCACAGTTCAAAGGAAATCGCAACCAGCTCCAAAACAAATGAGCTAGTATCTGTCACTAATCTTATGATAAATCTTAAATGATGCTGCCAAGTTTTTCGCCCATTACGCAAACGAAACTCGTGCGACTATTTAAGAAATGCAACCTTCAAAACAGTTTTGAAGTGTAAAAGGGCAATTTTTTATTGAGTAACCTTTTCCAAATGATTGTTTGCCAACCATTCACGACACCCACGCGCCTAAGGTAGCGGGCATCTATTTCATCTTAAGCAGAACAGTCGTAAACAGGACATTTTTATTGAGTAACGTTGTACAAATTAACAAATAGATGCCATGTGCCGTGCGTCTGCTCAGTAATAGATCACAGATAACGTCAAAATGTGGTAAGAACACTATAAGGGGTACAGGAGGCGATGGCCGAGTGTGTCACCGATGTTCGTACCACATTCTGACGTCTTCTGTGACCTATTACTGAACAGACGCACGGCAACATGGAATCTACTTGTTTTTACAAGAAAGAAAGAAAAAGAAATGTTAATGGTATCATCTATGCGTCTGTGCTTCAATTGATCATAAGAGAGAACCAATCAAAATGCGAGAATAATTCGACTTATTATGTTATATGATTGTTTGAAGACCGTTTAACAAGTCTCAACGCCTACGCACCAAAACATACGGAAGACATAATCACCTTGTTTTAAATTTCATTGATGTCTTAAGCTCGCTTCCTAAGTTTATCATTGTTTCATTAAAGTTTCAATGATTTATCGACCCAAATTTTAGATGTTGTTCAAAACAGTTTCGCTAAAACACAAATACAGACGGAAAACGGAACTACGTAACAAAAACGTGCAAAAATTACTACTGGAAATAGCAGAAACTTTTCTAGAAGGCTCGGTGTGCTGTATGTTAAAATAATCTATCTGATGTTACGATCAAGGGAATTATACGCTAATCTAATTATTTTTAGGCATGGCGGCAAATTGTCCACTTACTGAAGGCCTGATAATTTCTTTTACCTTTCCGAGGTGATTATTTTACAGATGTGAAACTGATTGGAACGGCGGAGAGGAGACGTGCTCTCGGGGGGTGAGGGTTAAGCCCACCCACCCCCTCCTCCCCTCCACTGTGGCTCTGATATCGACAGGGATCCTTGTAGTTTCTTACAGGGATTTAAATCGTGTACCACTTATGGTTATAAATCGGGCAATTATGTTCCAAGTCTACTTCAGAGCTTTAGCTAAGTTCATTCGAGGGCCAAATTAAATTCAAAAGGAGCCGGAAATCAGGCAAAACACTGTAAATTAAACCTATACGAGCTAGATCGAGCAGAAGTCTTTGTTCCTGTCGATGTCGAAATGAACTTTTAGCCACACCCTCGAAGAAAGAACCTTGTACATTATGAAATTTTCGACCATCTTCCATGTTACTAGTTTATGACATCCCCTCCGGCTCTTACGTAAACCGAGTCTTATTGCATATCATCCGTGAATTGGAAATACGACCCCGTGCGTCGGCTAAATGGCTTAACGGAATTAAGTCCATCTAAAGGACCCGCTGGTCAATTTTTCGGTTCTTAAAAAGCAAGTCTAAGTTTATGAGAGAAGCGAAAGGTATAATTTTGATAAAATTAGAAGGCACAAAGAATAGTGTGCAGGAATTCACTTCCCTGGTCACGAAATACCCGTCAAATCTGTGTACAAAAATTGTCTGGCACGTATAACACTCAAGAGCATTGTGTTGATGCGCGATCAAGCTTATCCTGGGTCATTCAGTCGCTAACTGGGTCAAGAATTTCAGCCTTTGAGAGTCATTTACCAAACATTTAAGACACTGTTACTCGAATTAGTACCATCAGTTACTAAAGTTAGATTGGATGAAGGAATCTGGAGAATTGAAGTTCTTCAAAATCGATTTTATGAGCATTTCTTATAAGCGCACGAATGCCGTACAAATGATTGAAAAATGATGCACACTGATAGCAACCCTGACCTTTTTTCATTTCAGAGGTTTTGGCTTACAGCAGCCTACTTAAATAAAATATCACTAATTCTTTTATCTCTGGGGACTTTTCATTGTTGGCTTGGTTCTTTTTAACAATGTTAACCTTTATGTCGCTCGCATTGTACTCTTATGACAAAGAAATATATTTTGCTATTAGAACAGACGTGAATGTGATGACAGTCCAAGGCTTTACACTATGACAGCCCAAAGAAACAATAAACTGATTTTAATGAGATTAAAAAGAAACTGGCAACGACCTGTTGATGATAAGGGGTGTACAGTGTTTAGCCATCACCTCCCAAACTATTAGCAGACATTCTCAATAGAATAAGAAAACCAGATTTGTAAACGAACGGCAAACACACCGTATGGGTTGTGTAGAAATGTTCAAGAACCGGAAATTGCAATACCCTCTTGATTAGGAGATGAGTGCCTTATATGCTTAGCCTTATCAAATCAGCTTCGGTGAAATCCTACGAACCATTGGATCAAGAGGCTTAAAACAGTCGCACATGCACAACAATAAACATGACATGTGATCTGATGTGAGGTTGGGCACATGCGATTGGCCAATGCGCGCGTTAATTGACAGGCTATGCGCTTGTATATTGTGTACCAGCTCACTGTTGAAATGCTTTGATCTCACGAGGTGGTAATCAAAGTGTTTCCTGCGCTTATAAGCTTATGAGCTGTGCAAACAGATTTACTCTTAATTTTCCAGCTTACCCTCTTCAGACAGCAGCACAGTCGGGATCTCTTACTCAAATGGCCGGATTTCCCTGTAGCGGATTTTTTGCACTCTATCTAACCGCGATAACGTTTCTTCAAGGGGCTGCCATAAGCGTGGACCCTACAGCCACGATTTCCGCTGCAACCATGCCTGGCAGTAACGTTTCGTTCGCTGCAACCAAAACTCCCCTACAAACTGATGGTCCGTCCCAAGGTGTAGGACACGCTGACAATGGACAAGGCTGTCCTAACTGTAACAACAACAACAACAACATCGACGACTATTCTGAGAACACAGAAAGTTACAACCTAAGAATCAAGATGATCAAAGCTAGAATACTGGCGAAGCTGCAGATGGATCGAACACCGGTCCTCAAGCAAAAACCAAAGGACAGTAGGATTGCAGCCCTTCTGTCAAATTTAAATCTTATTAAAGAAGATTATCCAGAGAGTGAGCCGGAAGATACCAAAGAAGACGACTACTATGGAAAGACGACTAAAATCATTGTTTTTAGCGCGAAAGGTGAGTGGTTGAATTTGTGCGTGTTCTTAGGGGTATCGACGAAATAACAGTTTGTGATATCGAAGCTTTTTTCACAGATAATTTCCATTAGGGTCAAGCTCTGGCCTTCGAGTTTTTTCTTTGTTTTTTGCGGCGGTTTTGATACCGGCATGGTCAAGAGGGCAGCTGTTAAAATATTTCAGCATATTTCTTTTCCATTCATTCGTCACCACAGACAGTAGAAGAGCAAAGTTCAAGAGCTGATCTTGCGACAGTCTCACGATAATTACACCAAACGCTGTCTTAGCGCTCCAGATATTAGTCTTTGGCGCCCTATTCGCTGTTAAAAATTACGTGCTTTGTTTTGAATTCTGCTTTTAAGATAATGATCTTTGTGTTACGCACATTAGGAGGCGGAGTCGCACTGTATGTCTATTCACAGCTGCTAAATAGTGCTTTTGGAAATTTCCGAAGTCTTGCCCATAGCTTTAGTGCAGAATGTGGAAGATGCATTGAATGATCTTATCACGTTTATCAAAGACAAAACATTTCGCTGACAAACTGCAAGCTTCCTGGCATAATATGTGATGTGGAAAAATGTGTTTTACAACTTAACACCGGCCTATTATCCAGACAGTGCCTTTGAATGGATGTCAGTTGTTTTTTTCTTTGAAAGGAGTGGCGCCCAGGGTCCTTGATATGAATACACTAAAGACCGCAGAATTGCAAAGAACAATAGAACCCATGCAATTAATCAACAGCTTCCATTTATTTTCATTTGGCATTTACATGCTGGGTTTACCAGAAAAAAAAAAAGTTACACAAAGAATCTTTGAAAGACGGATTTCAGTTGACTTTGTAAGTAAGTTACACTTTCTATGATAACAGAAAGATTATCATGCTCTCCACTGCAGTCAAGTACATGTGCACTCTAAATAGTTTTTTCGCACAAACTCTAACGAAAACCTTCCTCTCTGTTGTGTCTTTTTTATTTGCAGCTAAAGTTCCACCTTCGCGATCAAGGCGAAATTTCTCCAGAAATTTGGTCTTCCAGTTCAAATTGGAACAAAAATCTCTCTGCAGCTTAGTGTCTTCTGTGTCTCTGTGGTTTCATAAGCGTAAAAGCAAACATTACGACTTGAACGGGAAGACTCTGCAGATAGAAGCACGTGACATGAGATCAGACAGAGAGCATTCCGACACACCAGTCAGTAGAGTAATGAAGACGAAGGTGAAGGCAAAGAAGAGTGGACCAGAATGGGTAGTGGTAGATGTTAAAAACATCGTTCAACTCTGGTTTAATCAAACGATGGAACAGCAATCAAGCAATGCTACTGACAATGGTACTTACACCTTAAATATCTCTTGCCTGGACTGCGAATCGGAGGCTCATCACCTTATTAGCTCACGCGGCCGACTTCGACCCTTCCTCGTTATCGACTTGCAGAAGCCAAGAACACTGAGCAGGAAAAAGCGTGCGATTGACTGTGTCGGAAGGGTTGCAGCACACTGTTGCCGTCGGAAGTTTTATGTCAATTTTACAAAGATCGGCTGGGACTCATGGATAATATACCCCAAAGGTTTTGAGGCCAACTTCTGTGACGGGCAGTGCAGGGCCGGTTTTGACGGCAATAATGGTTACTTGTACACGCTTCAAAAAATGTCCCAGCAAAATCTCACAGGCTTGGGGAGATGCTGTACGCCTTCAAAAATGTCCGCTCTTTCTATGCTCTACTTCGACCACGATGAATACGTCATAAAAAGGGATATTCCCAACATGAGGGTTGACACCTGTGACTGTCCGTACAAGTACTGAAAAACACAGGAAGAGAGAGACAGAAATATACGCGGATGTGCTTAAACGAAGACTACGTACTTAAAGGCTTTCTTGTCTTAGGTAAACACGGGTCTTCGAAAGCATGCCGTTTATTTTTGAAAGCTATTCTAGTATCGTGGGGGAATCCTTAGTATGTTTAGATATCGTTCCACTAATTAAGGATCGAGTTTTGAATTCCACCAAATAGTGACATCAACGGTGAACGATTTTAATAGCTTCGTAGATGCTCCAGGGCATTAAAATACTTCGAAAGTGCTAACTTTGCCGCATTTGATATCGGGACCACTTCGCATCGTTGAATGACATAGTTGAAAAATTGCGAAGATCGTAATTGTCAAGGTTTTCTTCTGGCTCGCAGATTTAGTGTTCGCATGCTGATGGCATGAAATAAACTTGTAGAATAGACTATTGAAGATGCTGAGCTGACCCCTAGCAGCGCCAGGCAGTAATGGATGAAGGCATAGTAATGTGATAATTTGCGAGTTCCGGTTACGCTGTGCGATAACGCTGGTGTTGATAGTAATCAGCGCATTCATCTTCATCACGCCTATCTTTTAATACCTAAAGGAAGTTGGAAATGGTACATTTATTGCTCCGAGTTTAGAGTTATCTTTACTAATAAGGCGAAGTTATGATGTAATCACCCGCCTTGTGCTCAGTGGAGATAATTTAGTTAGGGCTCAGGCACCAATGGAATAATCCTCGTTTACTTTTCAAGCAGTATAGAAACAGCACTTCAGTTTTCAATTTCTCTTTGAGCCAGGGTCGTTCATTGTTGTTGTTGTTGTTGTTTTTTTTTCGGTGGGGTTTTTGAATCAATCGCTACCACATGCATAGCATTACGGAATACCAAAGTGGTATCAATTACATAAAGAGGTTTCTAAAACCAATGTAACAAAGATAACGGAACAATTCCCACCATGGTAAAATGAGCCAAAGCTATTACAAGAGCTTTTAGAATAAACAAAACTCAATTGGTCCCAAAAGGTACTTGTTTGGTGCTAGTAGGTAGGCGTGCACAAGTTATGTTTCTGAAACAATGGCTGGCATCTTAGTGAGGACAAAGGATATTGCGTACACGGTCCAGCTAAAATTAGACTTTAATCCGCTTTTATAGGAGGCAGCTGTAAATGTTGTTAGTGAAGCCAAATAATGTTGTTAAATTGAAAGATTCCAGAATAGAGCACCGAAAGTCTTTACTATAATTATCTCACTCGCTGGAAGTCGTTACACAATTAAGGGTGTGGCTTTGAGTTGCCCTGTCAAGGGATCGAGAGTATATTATGTGACACAGCCTGCTGACAAGAATTTTTAAGATGACGTAGTGAGGATATCCAGAGACATGACGAGTGTGTAAAAGTTTTATAGGTAAATAAAGCACACGATTTGTACTCTAGGGGGTCCTTACTATTCAATGCCATTGCTTTTGCAATCGCTTTGCAAAAAATTCACCATCTATTCAGTGATCGCTTTGCAATCATTTTGCTAATATTACTTTCAAAGGGAAAATACAGATACGCTATGAAGTAAATTCCAATTCAATGGCAGTGAAATTTCTCAGGTCTTCAGTGCTGATGGTATAACAAAACGTCCGTGGTAAAGTCTGTTCCAGCGTTAACGACGTCTGGAGTGAAATGGCGCAACTCCAGTTTCTATAGAAGAAAGACCCCTAGGGGTCTGCAGTATTGCTGGTATTGAAAGGTCCGGGTTAATATTCTCCCAGTGGGGAGTCACTCCCTTATTTGACCTAATCTGGGAGGTGCAACTAACCTTGCCATGGTTAACGTTAAGAAACAGTATGTGATAACTGGATTGTCTCTGGGAGAGCAACTTTAAAGAGAGAAAAAAAAGAAACGTTTTGGCTTCATCAGTGCCGCTCAGTCGCGGCATTTCGAGTTATTTCTGCCTCTTACAAATCACCTTCAATTTGAAGGGAACCTGAAAATAGTAGTTCACTAAGATAGAAAAACACCAAACAGATAAAAAATGAACCATAAAGGAACGAGGATGACTAAGGATGGAGAAGATTAACACGGATTACAAATAAAGAACTTGAAAACTTTAGGCTAAACTTTTCCAGATGCGCAAGCCGTGAAGTAGCTACTTTAAGAGCAGTCAACGACCACAGCCATCCCTCCCGAGCTTACGTTAGATTTTCCCCAGTTGGGGTACGGGTAAGCAAGGCTCAAACCTGGACTTCTCGATCTCGAATTCAGCCCTTCTAAGGATCTTGTTTAACCTTATAAACGCCTAAGTTTTAAAAATGAAATAGCTTCAGTCGTCAAAATCTTTAACAGGAACAGTGGTAATGTACTGATCTGATCAGACAACATGAAACAGACGTATGGAGGGAGAATTGGGTCAAAAATGGCATTGAATCAAGTTTCATTCTGTTGGACAGGCACGTTATGCCAAGGGATCATG